AACCTAATCAAATCCAACACAAGTGAGCTCTATGTTCATATTGAGTCTGAATCTCACACAACTGGATAATTCTACTGGTCACATGTATTTATTTATGCTAGTGGCTTTAATATATCAACAAATCAAAACACCCAGCTTTTCCATTGATATTCTTTAGTCTATAAAATTACATCATAGTGGTACAGGATGATTTTGAAGACATTCAACCCACTGAAGCAATACCACATCATATGACTAGGACACGAATGGCTGGCCAGAGTGTATATCAAGGTAAGATACAAACACTAAATTGTTTCAACAGGTTCCGCTAATGTATGCATAAAGGTCGATCACAAAAAAGTCCTTTACTACTGTTTATAATATCCTGCTGGCTGGTGCATTTGACAGCAGGGCTACAAACATGCATTAAGTCAGCCACTACTTTTCACTGTCCTTCATTCCATAGTGTCATAATGATTCATGTATAAAGTGCACAGATACTTGTTTTACCATGTGTACACATGTTATATCATATCCCTCAACAACACAACAGAAGAAACCACCCCTCACTGTGTAGTTCTTCTGCATCATGAGGTCCGAGTGCTGGTGGTGTTCTGTGACCGTCAGTTTGTTGAACACCTTCAGATACTTGATGAGGATCTTCTGCACCTCCTTCTTCATCTGCTCCCTCACCCGGATGAAGTCCTCGGAGTCGGGCACAAACTCCTCAAAGGAGATGTTATCGGCTAGGCGGATGTCTGGATCCTTGTACGTCATGAGGAAAGGCACCCTGTTCCTGGCAGCGTAGGCCTGTGCCATCAAGGGATCAGGGTTCTTCTTCTGGTTTTGCGATGAGTACTGCGGGTGCTGGATGGAGTCCCAGCACAGGCTATACGAGATCACTGGGGTGGCACAGGCACGGAAAAAGGAGTCTATGAAAATGTGGAGTCTAATTTCTTCTAACATGAATTACTAAACTTTATATATTAATGACATAGGATTAACATTATATAACAATGGCTGATATGTCACTGATTCCTTTTTACTCAGTAAGATTTGTATATAATGCAGATTCAATATTACTGATACAGAGAATAGGCATTCTCTGTCCTGACTTCTACTTTTGTCATATATAATAGCTATGACAAATCTCTCCCTTCATCATTACAAATTTCCCTCCTCCCATAACTGATGTTTAGCCAGAGCAATCTAGCCAGTACAAGTCGCTGTGGTGTCAATCATATCAGGGAGTAAACTTGGAATCCTCTCTCTCCAAATTTATGAGTCTCTATTTCTACTTTGTGCTGACTTCCCTACATCAAAACCCAGTCCCAGTGAGGAAAAAAAAAGACAAAAAAAAAATAATAATAAATAATAATAATTAACTTGTAATCTCCCACTCTATCAGGCAATAGCTACATTCCAACACAAGAAAGTGAAAGCTGTAAGCACAAGCTGAAAAAAGAAAATTCCCTGTTATGGTTACTGATTTCCATACTACCTGTGGTTGGCTTTGGAAGAACGCTACGCGATTTCCTTCTTTCCGCATTATATTTCCGTGGGGAAGGTGTTGGTCTGTGGTGGACAATTTTGAGTGCGTGCTGTAAAAATAAAAAGTACAATATTCAGGCCCAATCCCTGATATCACTGAAGTATATAAACATCTATGTCCATTGTTACAAAATCCAATAACTTATCCTTAAACTGTCTCAGAAATCCACATACAAAGGTAAAAAGCAACAAAACCTCCAGCAAGAATAATGCTATTTTTCTGAGTGTAATGGATGGATACATATAATAGAAAGGACTATGACCACATATAAAGCATATGCGTATATAAATATTTTTTGTTTACCTCTAATAAAATAAAACACAATCTATACATATAAAAACATCCAACTGCTGGCTAAGAAACAGGACCTATGAGAAAAAAAAGAAAAAAGAAAATGTCACTTTCACCAATATGCTGTACCATACACACAATTCCTTGCTTGCAAACACCAAGAGATAACCATATATGACATTCCAAATATAAAGAAAAAATATAGATATATCATAAAAGAACACATCCTCAAAAACATTACTACACTTACACACACACACACACACACACACACACACACACACACACACACACACACACACACACACACACACACACACACACACACTCACACACACACACACACACACACACACACACACACACACACACACGCACACACACACACACACACACACAAAAATCCCCATCCTTGTGATTACCTAAGGAAAACTTTCTCCAAGCCCACTGCATCACAAGAAACTCCCCTACCTCTCACCACAGTGCCACCACACACACACTCTCAAAGGCACAACCCCATACTTGCAAAACACCCACAGACAGGCATGCGAGGGCTCCCTACCTCAACCTCATCCTTCCAATCCCATATGGGGTCTGATGGCACTGTCGAACGCTGCCTCAACACCTCAAACAGCTTGCAGGGGGGAGTGGTGAGGCCAATTTCATGTAGCGTTCTATTTACCTGTGAGTTGGAGAAACAGAGAGAGAAATACATTAGGAAATAGATTATGGCGTGATTATTAAAATGATAGTTGTGTTTAATATCAAGTGCACAACTAGGAGGGAGGGAGGGAGGGAGGGAGGGAGGGAGGGAGGGAGGGAGGGAGGGAGGGAGGGAGGGAGGGAGGGAGGGAGGGAGGGAGGAAGGGAGGAAGGGAGGGAGGCAGGGAGGGAGGGAAGGACGGGAGGAAGAGGAATAGCAGGAGGAATAGGAGGAGGAGGAGGAGGAGGAGGAGGAGGAGGAGGAGGAAGAGGAGGAGGAGGAAGAGGAGGAGGAGGAAGAGGAGGAGGAGGAGGAGGAGGAGGAGGAGGAGGAGGAGGAGGAGGAGGAGGAGGAGGAGGAGGAGGAGGAGGAGGAGGAGGAGGAGGAGGAGAGGGGAAGAGTGAAGAAAGAGGGGGTATGGGGGGGGGAGGGAAGGACAAGAAACAGAGTTAAACTAAGCTATAGACCAACAAAGTAAGAATAGTTATTATTCATATAAAAAAAATTAATAACATCCTTTCTGAGTTAAAAGTAAAATAATCATATTAGATATATTGTAAAAGTAAGCCTACAGAAGACCGTAAAATACTGTAAAACAACTTGCAAAGAATCAGAAGAAACAATTGCATACAAACCTTCCACAGAAATAAACAAAAGAACAAAAGCCCATAAATAAAAACAATAAAAAATCAGAATGCCTTAGATTCAGAAACAGATCTATCAAAAATATGCAAATAAGCACAATACACAAAAAAGAGAAATATGAATAAAACAAAAATAAGAACAATAATAAGAAACAATATTAACAAACAAACAATAATAACAAACAAACAAAAAAACACTCATAACCTTCAATGGCAAAAAAGAAATAATCATACAAAAATCAATGAACAGAAAAAAAAGTAATAACAATAAGAAATAAAAATAAAAAAACACAAAAACATCAATAAATAAACCAATAAAAAAAAAAGAAAAAAAAGAGAAAGAAAAAAAATAAATAAAACACTAATAAATAAACTCGCCAATCCCCAAGAGGACGCCTGACCCCTTAGAAGACAAGACTTGAGAGCTTGCACCTTTAAAGAAGTGCCGTTGTTATGGAGATAGAGGGAGTGCAGCAGGGGGAGGAAGTTGGCCCGGCCCTTATACCGCTTGTAGAGTGCCATGGACAACAAGATCCCGATGAAACTTTGCTTGGCCGCCTGAGCTTCACTGGACCTTTGGGGGGTAAAGACAAGGGCTGTCTGTCTATGGTGGTCTTGTGCATATTGTGTCGGGGTCCGTGAGAGAAAATAAAGTCGATTCGCATACATGAAACCAAGGTATTTCAAGGCAGGTAGCACCACCCTGTCTGGATATAAATTCTGACTGGCAAATGCTGACCGAAGCCTTGCCTTTGGGGAAAGAGTACTATCTGTACTCTCGTAAAAATGATGGAAAAAAAATGGATGGCCCCCTAAAGAAAAAGTCAATTTTATTTTTGGGCTTAATAGGCTAAATGGATGTGGGGCTACCTGTCTTCTATGAACCTTGCTTAAGATAATCACCAATAATATTCTGTGTCCGTCTTCCCTTCCATATCTTAGCCGATTTGGTCACTCTTTGCTATGCTAATTTATACTAGGCAAGATGAACGTCAGATAGAACAGTATCTAGAAGACAATAATACAAGAAAAATAATATTTTGTCTGCTGCTTTCGTCATCTGACGGATATTAAATAAAAATGAAACAGATGTGTACATAGAAATATATGCCACAAATTCTCATTCCAAATCATCTATGCCAGACACAAATACACAACAATTCCTATATAAATATATACATAAAAACATATACACTGTGCCAGCATACATATGTTGTCCCATTAACACATGAACACATATTACCATATTATGTCCACACATGTAATCATCCAAACAGAAGATGTCTCGGTTCCTTGTGACTTTTGATCAGTTTTAACCCCTTCATGACGGGTGACGCCACTAGGCATGAAAACAAACCACTCAAAAAGTGGCGTGCTGTTGTACGCCACATCGGCACGCCAAAGCGCGGCGAGCCAGTGATTTAGACTGATGTACCGAACTCACGCGCTCAAAGTCGGTGCACCGCCATTGTTTGCCAAAGCATAGAGTTTTTTGGTTTTTTTTCTTCACCCGTCACCATTGGGTTAATGAATAAAGAGTAACTGACAACTCACCCATTTTGTTCTTTTCCACAAATTTTATTCAGATTAAAATTACTTTATTCTTTGCAGAGAAACACATATTTTGATTATGATGAATGTATATCCTCTGCTGATCAAGTACAAATCTTGTCAATAATTTGATTATTTTGAATGTATGACTTGAAACAATCAGAACAACACATAATTACAATTGTTTTACATGATCTATTTAAAACATCTATAAAGGGCCAGAAGAAAATTATATTCTCGAACTTGGGGCAACCCTGAGCAAGGCAATGACTGAATTGCCAGTTGTGATCATTTTGATGAAAGTCTCGGTATAGTGAGACATCTTCAAGTTAGATGACTGTATATGTACATTCAAAAGGCCCAGAGACTTATATTTTCAGAGAAGCATTCAAGCAACCTGCCTAAATATATCAATCAAAAATAACAAAAATATATAAGAAAAAAGTCTTATTTGTAAGTACCTTACAAAGATCATTTTTTGAGCACACAGATGATCGCATTTTTTTAATCAAACATTAACATTTGCAATTTCTTGTTTTGCACATTAACGTTGTACTGTCCTTGCTTAATATTTTCAAAATTAATAAAATATACTATATACTGGTAGAATCATAAGTCTGACACACTTTAAGTTAATATTTTACTAATATTCATTAATATGTTAATAAGAATCATGTCATCATTCAACACGGGCATTCTCATCATTTGTGCAAGTGGGTAATATATATGAACAATAATGAAATTATCAACAATAACTGCAACAAAACTTTGCAGTGAAGAGCCAGAAAGATCTTTGCAAGTCATCTAAATTGCAGTCATCTAAGAAAGAGTTATCCCTGGTAATCAGTAATTCCTATGGAATCTTTTTGGTACTAGGTTTGCAAATTTAACTGGAGAGAACCCAGCAACTATCTTTTCCTGAACTAAATATATGTGGTTCTGTAGTTGCACCATAAGAAATCAGCCAAAAGAGGGAATAATTTTAATTCCCTACTTTTTTTGTGTGTGAATATATAACCAACTTTTGTCTACTATATAGTTGGTGCATCAAAGGGAGGGAAAAAGAGGAAGGCATGGGTGGTCACAACTTCAGGCAAATAGGTCTACCCAGAAAGCTTGGAAAATGATAAATAATTGATGAATCATTTCATACTTTGTTGCTACAGTCTCTAAAAAGTCACCTTGCCGTGTAGAATTATTCACACCAACATCTGTCTCAACCAACGTTAGAAATCCAACATGTCCCTGAAACATACCTCTTAGAAACATATCTTCCTCTCTACTAATTCCCAAATCCTCAGCCGAAATACCCTTAGACTCAAACATGAAAAACACAAGCAAATGAAAATCCCCTCTTACGAACTTCCACCCCTGACAACCCCAAGTAACCTCTACAACTCCCCTGGAATACCAACGACCCCGCCTACCCTTTTCCCAGATGGTGTCCGAGGAGGGCATAGAGGACGTGGAGAGTCGTCTCAGCCACCTGAGATACCACGGACATGGTCGGCTCCCACGAGATGTCATTTACATTCACTGCGTCGGTCATCTTCTTTGTGAAGAGCGTCTCGTGCTTTAGTAAACCTGAAAGACGAGTAGATTGTGATTACAAGAATAAATTAACAAATGATTACTTACAAATCAAAATGGTTGCATTTTTTTCAATACCAGTAAGCAATCGAATATGACAATCTTTGTAATCACACCTATCACCTTAAGAATACTGGACTGATATCTCCTCAACCAAGCAAACTTTTTTCTTTCAGTGATTAACCCAATGCCGCCGGGGAAAATGAACAAAAAATGGGGAAAATGCTGTACCTATTTTCTATATTTTTAAGTTAAATGTCTGCCGATAGATGGCTCTGCTAGCGCCTGATTTGAAATGGCGGGAAAAACGTATTTTTCACTAGTGCCATGAATATCGATGGTGTTATTTTTTTTATAAGCATTATAATTATTATAATGTTTTTTAACATAAGTAACAGCAAAATAAGATAACATAAAATATTTCGTAAATCAAAGAAAAGGGTAAACGGGCGAGACAGGCAGTACTCATAACTAGCTCATTGGTGATTTAGTACAAGTGTAGCCATCTATGTGTATAAACAATCAAACAAGTAATCTCACAGTGGGCATGACATGGCATGCCCGTCGGCAATGGGTTAATTTTGAGCATTAAATGTCATGTCAATACTTGATTAGAATATTTTGTTAGATAAAATCTAATCTTTACCAGGGAAATAAAATCTCAAGAAATTTGAATAGTACAGTTACATACACTCTAGAAGTAACTAAAACACATAATACATTTTGTCTAATAAATAATTCAATTTAGTTCTTCTTTTGTAGTAAACCAATCAAAAATATTCTTAACTTCTCAATTAATCACATATGATCTTAATCAAGATAAAGACTATATCAAATACTTTTCATCCCCTTAATGAACCAGATACAATATCATCTCATTTAGATAACTGATCCCACATAACTATAATTTAAGTTCATTACCAATCACATTATCCTGAAGTAAATCTAGCCAATCTTAAATTATATCAACCGATACATTTAATCAACCACAAAAAAAAACAGATTCACTATTCCATACAACAAATGGTGCAATACTTGTCAAATCCTTGACACTTACTTTTCATTTCATTCTTAATGATGACACTGAGAAATGTTAATAAACTGCCCCGAAACTTTTTGCTGTTCTTCCAGAGTTTTCTGATAGCCGATCTGTAGAAACCTTGTTCTAATAATTTTGCGACTTCTGACCT